ATCTGTTTTGAGCTCACACCGGGAACCAAACATTTCAAGTCACAAGAATTTGTGGAATGGTGGAAAATGGTCTCAAAGAATGAATATGAAAAATTAATAACAAAAAATAAGATTTTAAAATTTGTAAAAAGTAAAAAGGAGAAAATCACAAAAACTGACAGCCTCAATTTTTCTTTCAGGAAAAGATGAAATGCCCAAAGTGATATTATGAGATCTGGAATGAATGAGAAAAAGTGAAAATTTGGAAAAAAATGACTACTTGGTGGTTTAAAAAGGGTGCCTAGGGGGTCATTCATCAAGGAATGTGGCATTCTGGTACTGCAATCTGCTGATTTTGACTGCAGGGTGTCCACCCACCTTGCTGAAACTTTTTTTGGATCAATATTTTTCATATATAATCATTCTTTTCATGTTCCAAACTTGCCCTCTGTGTGTTCACTTTTCACTCAAACAAAAAATTAAAGTTTTCAAAAAAACTTGATTTTCTGTTGAGTTTTTCCAAAAAAATCTCGCTCATCTCGTGACATCGCCGCAGCAAGCTAGTGAGAACGACAATCAATACCGCTTAGGGTTTCTAGTCTCTTCCTGAAAAGAACTCCAGCTTGCTTTGATTCAACCGCAACCTCGTCAAGATATCGGTTCAATCATACATTTTCTTCTCGCTCCAGATCGCTGTCCTCATCGATTCTCGCTTGCTTTCTTTCCTCAAGGTCAAGAACTCTCAAGACCTCATAGCTTATCTCATCAAGACCTTAAAGTAAAGTCCACTCAAGATCTTATCACCGATTCCAAATCAACTCTGACTCTAACTCCTCACTCCACTTCTCAAAGACTGAATCTCGACACTCAAGACAGTTCTCAGGCACTCGCTTACTATCATAGCTCAACGTCTCTCAACGTTCTGTTTGTCGACTCTCTCTCTTTTCCTTCTCTTTTTCTGTTCTCTTGTTCTATGTGTGTGTTCTTTGTTTGATGAGAAAAAACTGATCGTCTTTCTTAATTCTCCTTATCTTGCTTTGTTCTTTTTTTTTCTTCCAATAGTCTGCTCTTCTTATTAAATCGCTATAGTCTTTCACTTCAAAGTCCTCATTACATATTCAATTCTACATCTCTATTAGTGGTACGATCTCTTCTCTCTTTGTCTTTCTTTTCTTCTGACTTCTGTTTTCTCTTCTAACATTCCTTTTTTTTCTTCCTCAGTCTGGTTTTGGTTTTTGGCAATTTCATTCAGAATTTCTTCATTTTCTTTTATCTTTTTCACAAATTACAAAATCTTATTTTTTTATTATTATTTTTTCATATCCATTCTTTGAAACCCATTTTCCACCATTCCACAAACTTTTGTGACTTGAAGTTTTTGGGTTCCCTCTGCGGAGCTCAAAACAGATGGCTATAAACATCTGGGAGGAGACTGTACTTGTTTGCCAGTGCATGAAACTCACTGGCAATGTTTACTTCCCTGCTGGTGAATAATACTTGCTGGCAATGTTCTTCAAGTTGACCCAATGTGATTACATCATGTACCTTATACCTGCTAGCTGCCAGCTGGGGAGTAATTTGACTGTACAGCTCCTTGTTGAGGAGGAATGGATGCCAGCACTTGGGTTATACCTGGCACCTTCCCGCCAAACAGCCTGGTGTCCAAGCAAGGCTTGACAAGTGCAACATCCAGATCCAGGTCATGAACAAGTTAGGCAATGACAATCTGGGAGTATGGGTACTCTGCACAACAGATAATGGGATGAGCTCCCAGCTCATGCACAACAGTTATGTGACAATTGTCACTTTCATTGTGTGTTTGGGAGGTACCTTTTGTTTCTAGATTTGGCCACAAAAGGAATTCCTGGTCAACAACGTTGTTGTACCTCATTAACCAGAAGGGATTTCTTCCATTTTATAAGGTTTTTGTACCTAACTTACCAGAAGGAATACCTCCTGGTCAAGTGAGAGCAACTCCCAACCCCCCCCCCCAATGCCATGTGTGAGTGGTGATTTGGGTAGCCAAGTCCCAAAGTCCAGGAAAAATAAATAATAAAAAAGGATGGGGTTCCTACATACTTTTGACAGGGAGCGTGTTGCGGCGCGCCCTTGACAAGAGTATTTGTAGGTAAGAATAAGATCAGAATTGCTATGGACAATCTCTGTACACATCTCTCGATACAGATGACACCAATCGAATGTAAGCGCTTGCTAACCTCCTTATGGAGATGATCCATGAGTATGCAGATTGCATCCCAAAGAAGCGGGAGACAATCTCCGATCTCTCAGGCTCAACACCCCAATCACAAAGCAGAGGGCTGAAGCTTGCCGCAAATTCAGCACAATCGAGCTGATGAGTTTGCTGACCGGTCAGTTTGCTCTGTTGTCCCAACCCGGACAGCTCTTACTTGGAGCCTGGAGGGATTTGGAGAAGTTGAATCTCCTTCCTTGAGGGCTTCCGGTATCGGCAAGCCAGTGCATGGCTTGTTCTGAGCCTCCGTTGCAAACCGCAATTCCTGCAAAACAACTCGCCAATCAATGGGCTTGCAGTGTGGTCTCAAAATTTGCCCGTTCCTGGGAGTGAAGGTTGGCGGAATGCCCGAACAAAAGCTCTCTGCATGGTCTGCCAGAAGGCCAGGCCTTCCTTGTCTTGCAGATTTATTGGCACAGTGTCATCAGCCTCATCTTCCGCTACCTAGGTTTCATAACTCGGTGTAAACTTATTTCAGCTTGGATCAAGTGAATACATGCATTTTCTCTTGACGTAAAATTATCGATTCAATCTCCTAGCAACTGTGATCTGCCAGTGTTATGCATAGGGTAGCAAGCACCTAGATTCAGGCTTGCGTGTGATGATGTCCTTGGTCATTTCTGGTGAGTCCGGTCTTCAGGTTTCCGTTGATGCACAATGCTTGGGGGTCGATGGAAAGGTTGGTGGAGCTGGGTGGAGACGCTCTTTATGCCCAGCCCGATTCAGCTCTTCCGAACTTCCGACTGGTGGAGTCGTCACTCTGACGAAGACTCTCACATTGACAGACTTGAACATCTCAGTTCGCATGCCTCGTCTGAGAATCGAATTAAAGTTGAGAGCCATATTCGGGCAAAGTTTTGAGGGAACATCAAGCGTATGTACAAACACACAGGAAATCAACTTTATCTTGAGCAAGACCTTTTGGATGAAAGAGGTGCACTCGCAAAATTACAGCACTGACGACCACTTCCAAGCATATTTACCCTTTAATTGAACGGTTGAGGACTGTTGAGAAGCGAGCATCTTCATACAGATTCCACGGCTCATCTTACAAACAGCGCTGCAAGGTCAGCAAGTCTGCAAACCCCAAAGCTTATCAAGAGCATGTATCTGGTCTCTTGGCCTGGCTAATCTCCCCGTTCGACTCACCTCAAGACCTGCCTTCGCCAATCAAGACTTCCGCATCTCCCATTGTTCGACAAGTTCTCGTATCGGACGGTATGCAATCACTGACCTTTCTGGCACTCCTGTTGTCTGCTTGTGCGTATCCGATTCTCGATCGCAAGAACTCTTGAGACGGAGGCCCGTTCCGCTGACTTGAACTTATTTCCCCCCTCAGCAACCAGGACTGCATCTGTTGGGTAAGCTCAATTATCTAGTGTTCACTGCAAGTGCCTAAGCGTGCAGTTCCGTACGCCTATCTAAGATTCGACACCGTGCTGATCATCGTCATTTCTCCGAGTCGCTACAGCCCGCAACAGGAGCAGGAATCGCTTACTAAGGAGCCAACATTCTTCGATATGCTAGCACGTTGGAACGGTGACGGCTACAGCGGCGGCTACGTTGGCGGAGGATATAGGGGAGGCGCTTTCGGCCAGACGACTTTTGTTGATACCCATCTTACCCCAAGTAGCCCTGCGGTAGCCGCTACTGAGAAGTCTCCGATTCCACGATCCTCGAAATAATCAATCGTATTCCTGCGCAATTGAAACAAGAGCTGTTGAATTGCACCACGCACGTAGTTAGAGCGATCTTCAATATTCATCCATCAATGTCCACTCCAATCAGCTTCAAATCACGCATTGCAAAGACCTTCGCATCTATCTGTATCCCAAATGAAACCAGTTTTTGTGACATTTGAATACTCCTTCCAGATTCATGAATATTGGACACCATTTACCTCACACAAAGAATATTGAAGTACCCAAGAAGAAGAGAGTGCAAGTCATTTTAATGTCATGTGATGGATTGATAGTTGGGCTTTTGATAGTGTTTTCTGTGTAAATAAGACATGACAAACAAGTTTGAATGAAGTGAAACTCCCAACAGCTGAAAATTTGTAACTTGTATGGTTGCTGGCCAATGATTCCAAAGCAGATACTGTTGGAATTCAAACTTAGCAGATAGAGACCGAACCCCAAAAAGGGCTAGAACCCAACAGACAGAACACGCAGCAGTGATTGGTAAGCAACCGTCACTAAAGCTTGCAATGAATCATCTAGGAGAGCAGAAGCTAACTAAGATGAATTCTACAGATCATAATCCTTCTGCCAACACAAAAGAACCTGAAGATCCCACCTGGCAAAACAGGAGGTGAGTCCACAGTAAAGCAAACCCAAGACAAGATAACACATGAGTAAGGTCAGGAGCTGACTCTCGTTTATCTCAAAATAAGCAGCTTGATCGATCGGCTTTCATCCCCCATCGCTTCAACACTGTCCAACAAAAACTTAGCAAGCGAACCAACCGGTGAGCATTAGAGCAAGAGAACAATCCAATTAGACTAATAACTAATATTTGGAAATTTCTCTAGACAAAGTAGCAACTACCAAAACCTCCAACAACCAGAACATAAGACAACACCTCAAAACAGACAGAGGTAAGAACTTTACTGAACTCAGTAGAAGAAAAGAAACTAAGACTGATCAAGAGCCGTCCTCTGAACAGAAGCTCACAATACTGTTCAACAACGAGCTCTAAGCAAATAGGAGAAAAGCACGATCTAAGACTCTACAGTAAGACTATTTGTCTTTAGCAGCTTTAGAGCAGTAGCACAGAGAACTAACACAAAGATCCATCTTTGTTATCGCATAGAACATTTTTTCTTTACATTCTTCTCTATTCATCTCATCTATATCTCTCTTTCTTTCTAATCACTATATAAAAGAAAGCATAGTCTCGCTTGCTTCTAGGTACATAAACATTTCAACTATGTCTTATTCACTTGTACTCGAGCTGTTTCTAATGAAAATAAAACTTCTAGTTGCTTGAAATTTATCAGATTTACAGTCTCGGAGCACGAACCAGCAACCAGCAAACAGCTAGAAGCAAGTCGAGATGGCACCATCCGCGTCGACACCTGCTACTCGATCTAAGGACAAGGATGGAGAAAAAGAAGAGAAAGAGACGTATAATGTCGACAAAGACACGGTCAACGTTCCGAAGTTCAACGGCAATAACTACCCGATCTGGGTTAGAAAAATACGAATGCATCTTTGCGCCAGAGAATTAGAAGAATTCATCGACTCGCCACTGAAAGAAGATGCAGATGAAGCCACCAAGAACAAAGCTAACCGGGTCTGCAACATCTTATCGCACGGCATAGATGATTCAATCTTCACCAGTACCATAACGGAAGAAAACGAAAAACAACCGTTTGACATTTGGACAGCTATCAAGGACATCTATGCAAGCGATTCTACGCTATCCATCTTCCAAGTATGGAATAAATGGGAAGACATTCAATTCGAAAACGACATGAACGAGTACATAAACGCCATGCTTGAAAGTCTTTCAGAATTCAGCTCTATCGGCATCAAGATTCCTGACGAAATCATTAGCTGCGGAATAATCGGTCGAATCACTAAGAAACGTCCTCTCTTAATGCAAACACTCTTCTCAGACATCGCCGCCTTGTCAAAGCCAAAAATGATCATCGCCAATCTCCGCGACATCGGCCGCCATGAGAAAGCTATGCGAAAGCAGATAGTCCCTGACAACACCGCAAGCTCCACCGCTCTCGCCACAAACTTGAAGCGCAAACCAAAACCACCAAAAGTCTATTGCAAGAACGGGAGACACAACCCAGCCGCTGACAGTCATCACCCCAAATCCAAATGCTGGACTGTCCACCCAGAAAAAAGGGAAGAGCATTACGCTGCCAAGAAAGCAAAGCCATTGACTTACCACACCACAGCTGGCGATAATGACCCTGACCTTTCGAGCATTAGGCCTGCGTTTGCATATCACATAACAAAAGCCACAACCCCACGTCTTCCTACTGTCTTAGACTCAGGCGCCAGCAATCACATGATCAACAACCTCGACTTATTTGTTGATACCACCCCAACGCAGATCACCATTCTCACTGGAGGCGGTGCTGGAGAACTGACTGCTGTAGCCAGAGGTACCGCCAAACTCACGCTTGAAGACGGCCAAACCTTGATCTTAGAGGAAGCCTTATACGTCCCGAAGCTGTCAAGGAACTTGATCTCCATGATGCAATTGATGAAACACACCATTAATCAACATTGCTAACGGTATCTGTCAAGTAACAATCAATGCAAATCTGCCTTTCACCGCTGATGTCTCAAATGATTTGCTAGAACTAAAAATCACCGACACACCCCGCTCAAGCCCACAAAGTTTGCTCACTACCCACCAAAACCAGCTTTCCGAATTTGTTAAGTGGCACAAAAGACTCGTCCATGCCAGCTCAGGCAGAATAACTAGAGCATTTCAAGAACCAGTCACTATCAACAAAACACACACTTGCTCCGCCTGTATGCTCGGCAAACTAACCAAGCAAAGTGTCAGCCTTAGAGCCAACCAAGTTGGCCAAAAGACTGCCAAAACTACCCATTTCTATTCAAAATATTATCACATCTTTTTTATCTTAAGACTTTTAACCTTTCTGACTTCAGAAATGGATTCCTGGTGTAAAATTAACCCTAGTCACCACTGACCACTTTTACCCAACTCCATTCCTTCATTGACTTTGTAATAATTCACAGTACTCCAAGAATTATTCCAACCTTTAGGTTTCCGCTCCCTCTACCACATGTACATACCAGATTACATAATCCAACTGTGAAAATCCTCTCTGAGCTTGTTGATCCCGCTTCCAGAGGATTTTCAGACTCCAGACCACCCAGAAACCACAACAACCAGTACCAGATCCAGCTCACACTTATCAACCAGAAGAACCTTACTTTTCCTGCCTTTCCCACTACTCAGTGTCATTGGTGTCATCAGTAAGTTACTTCTTTAAGTCCAGCTAGCATCTTTCTGCTTGTTTTCTTTCTCAGTCTCTCTCACCTCTTTCTCTTCCTTCTCTAAACCAAAAGCCCTGATCAACCAAAGCTCCACTAGCTTCAAAGATTCTTCTCTTTTATTGTTTGGTAGTAAAACTGAAAACTACATAGGTTTCCCTTTAAAGAACCTTGATCATCCTTGATCTAAAAAATTGTGGTTGATCTGATTTATCAGAATCAATAACCCATTTCAGTTTCTGTTGATTTGGAGGCGTCAGAGTTAGCTCCGCTTATAACAGCTATCCTACTAAGGAAAATAAGACTGTCAGCAGCCATCCCAAAGAGGACAGTAAGACTGCCAGAATTTTATCATCTTCTTAAAATAAATAAAGAACCAAAAAATATTTCTTTTTATTTCATTCCTCTTCTCCCTTTTCTCTTACTTTTATTTGTATTCCTCTTCTTATAAGAAATACATATAAAAGTGCCCCCCAAAACCTTGTGTCCTGCTGTCACTATTGAGACCCAGGCTCACACAAAGCTTCACCAGCTCATTCAAACCAGTAAGCGCTCCGCTCGAGGCCGTCCATGCAGACCTTGTCGGACCAATCACTCCTTCAACAAAAGGCGGAGCAAGATATTTCCTTACTCTGGTAGACCAATACGCCGGCTATATCCATACGGCAATACTGAAAACTAAGGATCAGTCTACCTCGGAAATCACCAACTACAAGCGCTTGTTCGAAAAACAGTCCGGACACGTTCTGAAAAAGTTGATCTCAGACGGAGGCGGCAAATTTTGCAACAAAACTCTTAGCGCGATCCTCACTGAAGGCGGAATAATTCATAATGTATCACCACCATACACGCCGCAAAACAACAGAGTAGCTGAAAGAGCAAACAGAACGATTCTCGACATGTCGAGATGCCTTCTGATGCAAGCCAACTTAGCTCCTGAATGGCGGGGCAAAGCAATTCGAACAGCAACAGCCACGACAAATTGTCTACCATCTATGGGAAAGGGAAGATCAAGCCCTCTAGAACAGATGTTCAAAATTAAACCAAACATGAACTTCTTTCGACCCTTTGGCTGTCGAGCTTGGGTAGTTAAGCCAAAGGAGAACCGCAAAACCAAGCTAGGTCCTCTGTCATGGGAAGGAGTCTTCATCGGTTATGAGAATGATTACTCATCATATCGTATCCTCCACACCGACGACAAACAAATAATCACGGCTAAACATGCGCACTTTGATGAAGCGACATTCCCGGAAAGCCCTTAACAAGAGCGTGGCTGAAATCGGCATCAACAAGCTGCCAAGCTTCACTGAAGAAGAGCCTATGCCTTTTGCCGAGGAATCTGACTTGACCACTGAGGAACAACAGATCACTCAAGACAAAGAAGAAGACATCGATCGAACTATCCACCAAATTCGAGACTCAAGCCCAAAGGAGTCAACGGAGTCCATAATCATTGAGGAAGCGCACGAGCCACCGCAAGCAACATCCAAAAGCCGATACACATGGACTACTGCGCCTCCGGAAAAGGAAATTACTAGTGACTTGGATACAAAAACCATCATCCGCGAACGACGCAGAAGACACGCTTTCCTAATCACGGTAACACGAGATCCAAAAACGCATAAGCAGGCCATGGCAAGCCCGGACCATCAACAATGGAAAGAGGCGGAGCTAAAAGAGATTGCCAACATGATGAAACACCATGTCTGGAAAGTGCGAGCTAGGCTTCCGACCGACAATCCAATACCGGTCACCTGGGCATACAGGAAAAAACTCGGAGCGGAGAATCAGATCATCGAGTGGAAAGCCCGGATCTGTGCACAAGGGTTCAAGCAAGTCCACGGCTTGAACTTCGAAGCCAAATACGCACCAACGGGAAAACCCTCATCTCTCAGATTCCTCTTGTCATTTGCAGTCAACAACGGCTTGAAAATCCATCAACTCGACGTCAGAAGCGCATTTCTCACCTGCCCACTGGACGATAAAGTTACGCTTCTTCCGCCAGCAGGGCTAGATTGTCCAGAGGGATCAGTACTCGACCTAAACAAAGCCATCTACGGCCTGCTCCAGGCACCACTAGTCTGGTACAAGCGACTGTCAAACTTTCTCAAGTCAATCGATTTTCAATTTCGCGTTTGGACCCATGTGTATTCTGGAGAACCAATCAACCCGACAGACCACCTACGTGGATCTTCGCACATGTGGACGACCTTGTAATCATCAGCGCGGAACCTGATATCTTCAGACGGGAAATGGAAAAGGAATTTGAAATTAAATACCCTGGAGAGGCGGCCTTCCTACTTGGAATGAATCTCGAGCATTTTGATGGCGGGCTTCAAATCAACCAGACACAATACATCGAGAGAAAGCTTATCCAATACAACCTCATCAACCTCTATCCAGCATCCTGTCCTTTGAACCCACGCAAACCGTTAAAGAGAGCAACCATGAGCGAAATTGGAACCCTTAAGAAGCTTGAAGTTAACTACCGGGCACTGATTGGGTCTTTGAACTACTTAAGCATCTTGACTAGACCGGACATCTCGTTTGCGGTCAGCAGCTTATCCCAATACTTAGAGAACCCTGGTATAAAGCACTATCAGGCAGCAGTACAAGTCTTCCGATACTTGATGGGAACCAAACATATGGGACTCATCTACAAAAAGGATCCACTCTCCCCCGTCAGGGCCTACGTCAACGCTGACTGGGGAAACTGCCTGGACACTAGGCGCTCAACAACGGGTTTTGTCATTGCAAAAGGTGCACACCTGCTTAACTGGAAAGCTAGTAAACAGCTGACAGTCTCACTCTCGACGGCAGAAGCCGAGTATAAAGCACTGTCCGACCTAGGAAGAGACCTCGCTTGGTTCGCAAGCCTAATCAAAGAGCTGGACGTAGATGTATCTACCAACAACATTGAAGTCGCAGTCGACAACGGAGCCGCTATAGACCTAGCGAAGAGTGAAACGTCTCAAAACAGCTTCAGAACGAAGCACATGGACATCCGACTTCACTTTGTGCGGGAGCTCATCCAGGCGGCACTCATCAAATTACACTATGTAAAAACCACCGAAAACATTGCAGACTTCCTTACCAAAGCTCTGGGTTGCTTGACCATTAGAAAGTCTTTAGCGGCAATCGGGATCCTGCGAGTCTCAGAAGCTGCTCCTAATCTCACGACTAGAAGCATGCCAGGCTGTTGGAATTCAAACTTAGCAGATAGAGACCGAACCCCAAAAAGGGCTAGAACCCAACAGACAGAACACGCAGCAGTGATTGGTAAGCAACCGTCACTAAAGCTTGCAATGAACCATCTAGGAGAGCAAAAGCTAACTAAGATGAATTCTACATAGAGATCGTTCGTTGGTACTCGGGTACCTGTTGAATTTTTTCAAAAAATAGGTACCAAGTATCGCACCAGGCACCTCCCGGCGGGTACCGGCGGTACTTTTGGCGGGTACCGCGGGTACCTCCCCTCTCTTTCTAAACTAGGTTCACTTTCAGATTACCAAGTCACTTTTTTATTATTATTTTTTCATATTTATTGGAAAATATCAGTCCCAAGTCACTTTTTTTCCATTCTTTCATATTTATTGTGAAATGTTGACAACAAAATGGAAGAATCCTAATTTGTTATTATATTTTCATATTTATTGAAAATATCATTCCCAAGTCACTGTTTTTCCTTTTGTCATATTTGTTGTAAGACATCTTAAACTAATTGGAATAACCTTACTTCATTATTATTATTATTTTCATATTTATTGTAAAATATTACTCAAGTCACTTTTTTGGCATTTTTTTCATATTTGTTGTCAAGTATCTACATCTAATGGGAAGAATCTTGCCTTTTTTCATATTTATTGTAAAACATCAATCCCAAGTCAATTTTTTGATTTGTTCACATTTAATAATTTATTTTAAAGCTTAAACTGTCTACAAATTATATCTAATTAGATTATTAGAAGAATCTTCATTGTTATCCAAAACTATCACCTTCCTTTTTGATTTTTGGTTAGACTTCTTGTTATCCTTGAGTCCCTGTTTCCATATAGCCAAGGTACCTTCTTGGAGTTCTTGGAGTAGAAGGCCACCATCATTTTGGTAGGGAAGTGAGGGGGTACCTGTAGCGGTACCTAGGTACCTGTTCAATTTTTCACAAAAATAGGTACCAAGTACCGCACCTGGCACCTCCCGACGGGTGCGGGGCGGGTGGGAAGGGTACCCCCCAAGCGGTACTAGGTACCTAGCAAAGGGTACCGCGGAACGATCTCTAATTCTACAGATCATAATCCATCTGCCAACGCAAAAGAACCTGAAGATCCCACCTGGCGAAACAGGAGGTGAGTCCACAGTAAAGTAAACCCAAGACAAGATAACACATGAGTAAGGTCAGGAGCTGACTCTCGTTTATCTCAAAATAAGCAGCTTGATCGATCGGCTTTCATCCCCCATCGCTTCAACACTGTCCAACAAAAACTTAGCAAGCGAACCAACCGGTGAGCATTAGAGCAAGAGAACAATCCAATTAGACTACTGTTTCAGTGTTCCTAGTAGGCCGAGCTTGATATTCAAACAAAGAAGGAGAAAGAACCACACCTAGGTGCATATTCACATCTATTCACATGCTTGACCAGGTTGCAGCCAGATTGGAGGTCAAATTAATCCTTTTTGCATGATTGAGACATCATCTGGCCAAGTTCCAAACCATATTGAAGAGTTTTTTTTTATATAAAAAAAGCCTGTGATTGATTAAATAAGTCTGGCTTGTTCCATGACAAATGGGATGTTAGCCATCTGTTCCATTACATTTGTAGATCAAGCCTTGGTAACTGCTTGCAGACTGACAATTTGGCCAAAATGCTCCTGATGATACATAAATCAAACTTTCAGTTAGCTCTCTGTAGAGTGTTGCCAAGGAGTGGTGACATATCTACATCGTATTAGCCAGTCCTTCAGCCCACTCTTTGAGCAGGTTTTGACAAATAAAAATTTATTGGTCTCGATCGTGAGCTTAGAATTGCTCTGTTTTGATAACCATCCCCAATGCATTTTATTGAAAACCAGATTTTGGATCTCAGACATGAGGATGGATGAATGCAAAGTCGATCTGACTTTGGTAATAGTTTTTAAGGTCTCTTTATTAATGTGGCGTTTCTTGCTTACTCCAGCTGGGCGCAGGCCTGTTTTTGACCTTGAGGGAGAAGTCTTGCAGACTCTTGATGCACGGTCTGATTGATGCACCATCATGATCACGAGTGCAATATGGATTAAACCTTCTTCCCGCTGTTTTACGCTGCAGACGCCATTTCAATGTGGGGAGCTCAGACCCCGGAGGGAGACATGCCCACACCCGGGGTTTGACCAGCAAAGTACTCGTTTTGAAAAGCTTGAACCTTCTTCCTCTTCCTCTCCTTCCTTCCTCCTTCTTCACAATACTACGAGACAACCAACTCAACCGACTCACACCTAGCAAGCAGGCGAACGAACAAGGAAACCCTCATCCATCCAGCTACTAACCATCATACCGGGCCATGCCACTGTCGGAATATGCCAGATCGGAATATGAAGAGGATAGCGAGTTTGTGATGTCAGACGAGGTATGACCAATCATCCCTTATAACACTCAAAACTGTACATATCCATTTCCAGCTGTGTAGATAGCCATCGTCCTCACCACCGAAAAAAAGCCAGTGCATACATCTCCTGCTGTCAAAACCATCGCATACATGGAGCAGATGTCATCGCACTGTATAAAAAGAAAAATCGGCGAATAGAACGCATTCATTCAAATGTCTTTGTCCGCACTGAAATCTCAATATTGACAGTTGTTTCTTCATTCTTAAGGAAGACGACGCTGGACCAGAACATCCCTCTGAGCTCGAGCCTCATCTTCATCGACAATCTCCTCCCATCGACAAACCACGCTTAGAAATACTCGATGACTCAAGCATCAATCCTAGTCTCAATTCTGCAAATCAAGTTCGATCCCCTCCAAGTAGTATCCTCAGTAATGATGCCGCCAAGTTTATCAATCATGTCGATCTGGTCATGAACAAGATCAAGACATTGGAATCTGATACCCGTTGGCATAGGGTACTCAAACATCGGACCGGTGTTCAGGTCAGCACACCTTTCGAATTGAAACCGAAAAAAAAAGAAAAGAAAAAAAAAATCTCCTTCTTTTTCTCAATATCTTAAACCTATCTATCCATCTAGTAACTTCAAGTCTTGATCAGAATCACTTCTCTCCAAATCGCATCTCTGTACCCTCAAACTGCTGGATAATGATCTGTCTTGATAAATCTAAAACATCCTACGAATTATTCAGGTATACGCTCAAAAGCACGCTAAGACTATCGGCAAAGCAAAAACCGTCCCAGTCTTCAAAGGTGTCGGTCTTATAAAGGGTTATTCACCTGCATCGGTCTTTGCTGTGATCGGCTCAAGCAAACTGTGGGATGAATGGTCCGCAATCATTCCTTTTGATCATCATTTCAAGCCTGTAGCCAGTTAATTGGTTTGTCTGACCCTTCTCACTCTTGAATGCACTTTTTTTTTTCAGGTATGAGGACGGTAACTTGGTCGAGAACCTCAGCGATCAAGTCAGTCTGACTTACATGTGCATGAAAGCCGGCATCGGAACTCGGTATGTCCTTCTTCTCGCTTTCATTCTCGATTAAAAAATTATCCCTGCATAGAACCCACTGACTAAGCCCTTTTACATTCTCGGGAAAAATCAGGACTCGAGATTTATCTTTGGTTGAAAAAGTTGAAGCAACAGCTGAGGGTTCGATTTACTTTTGTGCCTCCTCAGTCGACACACCGCGAGTTCCGATCGTCCCCGGTAGGATCCGCGCTCACATCGAATTAAATGGTTGGGTACTTGAGCCCATCAAACTTCCTGAATCCACACCTGGGGCAAGTACGACTGCTACCAAAGTGACCTATTACCTCCAAGTTAATGTCAAAACGTTTGTAGCTGAGGCAGTCAGTAAGCGCTATCTGGCCAGACGACCACTTTGTATCACCAAGATTGACGCCTATCTACAAAAGTATGGCTCGCCCGTCCAACTCGAAGGTATCAGCGACGTAGAGGCTCATCCGCGCCAGGGTGGTACTCGGAGGAGCTATTCTCGAAATTTCATGTCCGTCAAGCAGTTAGAATTCCCAAAGGAAGTCGAAAATGTTGATAATGGGCCGGCTAGTGCCCCTACCTCTCTGAGCTCTCGAGGAATGCGCTCTCACCTATCCAGTATCGGCCCATTTGGTCAGAAAGCTCGAGCACGATTATCAAGTGCGGCTTTAACACCAACCCTCAAGCGGAGTGACCCAAATATTCGCAAGGCTGCAAAATCATTTCAGCTTGAAAGCCCAACCACAGCCAACCCACTCCCACTCCCAAAACCCACACAACCTCTACTAATCGATCATCTCAAACCAAATCAAGAAAGCTACAATTGGAATTCTATTTCTCGAGCCCTCGAGTTATTCAACACATATCTGAAAGACTCGACCACAAATCAACAAGATTGGAAGACGGTCGAGAATTCACATGACTCAGTCAGGTTGTGCTTGAATTCTCAAATCTCGCAAGCAGGTCAGAAGGGTAGCAAAGAAGCGTTTTTCCAGTTGCCCGTAGTAAAGAGTGAAACTATCCTAGATAATGCTCAACACCCAAGCCCAATCACTCCCGAGCAAGTATCAATGACGATCCTCAGTAACCTGGCACAACAGACATGGGATCAAAACTTCCACGGATACTCCAAGCTGGGAGCTCAATCCCATCAACATCGGTTGCTTTTGAATACAGATAACGGCTTCGATCAAGGAACTTATCTTAGTACTATGAGAGCCGTTTATCCTCATCTTCGAGATGAATCGATGTTCTGTTTTGATCAAGCTGTATTCCGACAAGCTGCAGAGCACCAGGCAAAGCGCTCGAGGATTGTGATCATTCATCATTCGATCGAAGACGAGGAAGGGTATTTGAAACGACTGGAAGAGAATAAAGATCTGCTGACCGATCATCCTGGAGTCAACTCCCTCCTGCGAGAAAAGGTTGAGCAGAGATTATTGAGCAGGATCGATGTATCAGGATGGGTGATTGAGAGCGGACCATCATCCGACCAAATTCGAATCACACATCTGACGGCACTGTCGTTAAATCTCAAGAACCAGCGACCTGCGACCACAAGCCAGACAGCGGCACTCCCGGACTTCTTACCGCGACTGGTCACTTCTAATATTGCTAGTCGACCGCAACAGGTCCGCGAGTTTATTCGGGAGCATGGTTTCTCACCCGGCTTCGTCCGATGGATGAACGGCGACATTCAGTATGTTGACGATCATTCACTCGAGGATTCTGATCAGATGTCACCTGGCATCAAGATTGGCCAGGTGGAATGGAGATTCAAGAAGAAAACACCCCTGCCCAGTGCCCAGACTGCTCTTCCTTCACCTTCCATTAAGGTTGGTCCAGGCGCCAATCAGACCTGTTGGTTTCAAGTAAGCTTTTTTAATTTCCTCTGAGATTATAGTTGAAAAAAGAAATCTTCTGACAACAGTTTTTTTCCATTTGAATTAAAGTGGAGTGAGCAGATGTATCCACATGGGATCGATTTAACCCTTGAGCCAACAGATGTAGCCGAAGTGCGACTAGTTGCAGAAATGAAGAATACGCTGCAATTTGATTGGAAGGCTGATTCGCAGAGCTTGACTGATAGCGGAATGATGATCAAGCTGCGAGCGAAACGGATCCATTCGATCGACTCCTCCACGCCCGATCGAGTGCTCTTGAACGGCTCGAGATCGCTCGCTACTGTCCATGTGAAACTCGACCCGTCGAGATCCAAAGTAAAGAAAGTGGTCGAAGGCCATCCCGGGCTCGAGAAAGACTCGACGAAGAAAGTCAATGGGGATCCCTCTCGAGGCCGCTCGTCTGCTTCTTCTCCACAAACTTCATCCATCCCCGGCCCCTCTTCGCCCCCGAACAATCCGGTCAATTCTTCTCCCAGAGATGTTGCTGGCTCCCTTGCCTCTCAAAAGGGCTCCAAGAAAGTCGCGCAACTTCCCCAACAGCAGCAACTCGTCGTCGATCCTAACGTCGCTATCATCATCAATGAGCATATCTACTTCACTAGATCTCAGGTCTTCTTCTTCATTCTTTGCTTGGGATGCGCTTATGTTTATGGTCGCTTCGGTTGATCTTCTTCCTCCCCCCTCCCCTTCGCTCTCATCTTTCTTTTGACTCCATTTTTTTGCTTTTTTTTTGCTTTTCCTTTTTTTTTTCATCATTCTTTGTCTCCCTTTTTTGCAGTTTACATTTTGCTCAGCAGATTCTTTTCCTTCTTCTATTTATCTTCATTCTCATTCTCATCATCTTCATCATCATTGTTTATTTATAGAAAACATTTCCTATCAATCTTTACATTATCTCTCTCTCTTCCCATCTCTCTATCTACTCTTGCTCCTCCATTTTTTTAACAAAAAAAATATTCTCATTTGTATATACATGTTGGTTTATCTTAGACAGTCTTCATTTATTTGGTCATAGGTTTTGATAGACAACTAAGTGTGTGTGTGTGCTTTTGGTGAATTATCAAACAAGGGTGAAGGTTGGTTTTTGGTTTGTGTTTGTTTGTATGTATCTTGATGTGTATGTTAGATGCAAAAGAAGAAGAAAAAGAAAGGATGGTTGTCAAGAGAATAACTTTTCTCAAAGAGTGAGAACATTTGTGGTTGTTCCTCAGGAACTCATTTATGTGATACTGCTTGTGATTCATTCATACAGAGTATCTGATTATGCTTGTATTGTTATTTTATTCTCTCTCTTTCTGTTTGACTCATCTTTTTCCCCTTTCTTTTTCCCTGTTTCTTCTTGGAGTGATGATGTATGACCATCATGCATTCATCCCTGAACACAGAGAAACTCCATTGACATGAGAGATGCACATATCAGGGCAGTTCACCTACTGCTGATGTAGACCATCAGCAGTCAAACTTTGCTAGAATCGCTCTTCCAAGGTTTATGGGAAAGCAGAAGAGTTTGGTGGGAGGCTCCCCTTTAGAGTCAAACTCCCACAAACTTGGAGTTTGTGCATCAGCAAGCAAACCTTGTTCCACATCATCAACAGTTTTGGTGCAACATGAACCTTATTGATGTGGCTTGGATTTGAATGATCTGAATTTGTTGTGAATGTCTGCTGAAATTGTAAGAAGGAGTTGAAATCTCTAGATGAAAACCAGAATTGTGTGAATGTAACCAAGGATAATAAGGAAACTGATTGAAGCCAGAGGGGTTCCAAATCAGAGGCTGAGGAAGACAGATAGTGGATGAAGATTTAGATCATCCAATGAAGTGACTCTAATCAAGAATCAAACAAATGAATCGGGGTTTCAGAGTTGAGTGCAAGTGACTTGCAACAATGTATGCCAGTCACTCTGAACCAAAAACCATGCATGATGAGATTCCAAAATGGCTTTCTACTGGCCACATATAACCTTGCAATGAATACTCTCAACTCAAAATGTCCACCCTTTTTTTGTCCAGATTCACTTTCACAAACTCATGCAATTAGGCACTTGCACTCAACTCTGAATTCCACTAAAACACGCTTTAATGGAATCGAGCACAAATCTGTTATCTGGACACAGGTCTTCATGATAAACACGCTATACTATTCCAAGTGAAGCAAGTGAAACAAAAATGATGATGGATCCTTATTCCTATTCTGCCATCTCATCAAAATCTGACCCTGGTTCACTTGAGTTCCTTGAATACTGTCGTGAATAGCCTGTCCCTGAATCAGCACCCCCATTCCCCTTATTCTTTGATCCTTTTGTTTGTTTTGATCTAGCCTTTCCTGATCTTCTTTTTTCACGCCATTCCTTGATCTTCTCCTTCCCCTGGTCAAGTTTTTGTTTTATAAATCCACTAGTGCCACTGTAGTAGCACAGATCATTAGGACAAGCACTGCAATAAAGGAGTGATGCAAATCGACTAACCTGTTCATACTGGCCCTGTTATTTGCTTCAGAATACTGCAAAGCTGCATTATCATATACAAGGGGATGAAACCAAGGAAATTTTGGAGATTGGTAAGAATAGTTAGGGTTGGAAAAGATTTTGATTTCATGATTGAAAATCAAATCAATTTCATATCATAATGGTGATTCATAACTGAGTCTGACTCCTATTTTCCAGAAGAAGAAAAAAGGTTAATTTGAGACAGATGTATCTGACTCACTAGAAGGAATTGTGGCAGAAGCTTTCCCAGCTGCATTTCCCTCCTCCATCCTTTTCATCAACCTATGGTGGAGCTGAGCTTGATTGAAAGACTTTCTCATGGGAGCCTGTTGAATCCCATTTGGTGCAGGAAAACAATATGTTGGCAGAGCCTGGAGGAGCCCAATGTACAGCAGAGCTTTAAAAAACATTCTTGTGCAGACTTGTATAAATGTTTATCTTATATCTTGAATTGAAAGCTTGATGGTCTATTTTTATTGTAAGACAAGATCTGAGCTCTGAGCACAAATATGGGACAAGTAATTAATCGGGAATTAGAAGCTTTCAAAAGCTCAGTATTTATAGCATTGTAACCATCCATATAAATTGTTTCCTGGTGCAAAGGAGGTTAAATTCATTTTATACAGTTCATGATGGTAGTTTGAAAACAATTTTTTGCCTTCTACTGTGCTGTTTGATTTTGAGTAGTTTCACTCTTGCTAGATGACATAAGTCTCGATGAGCTACCTAGCCGTAATGATACCTTTATCTTACAGTGGTGTATGTCAATGATGCTCCTTGAAAGCCAATCAAGTCCTTGAAAAAAATTTTCAGTTTGTCAGACTCTCTGTACTTGATCTTGACTATGAGTAATTGTACTCTGTAGAAGTGCCAACTGCTACAAGTCATGTTAGAAGGGCTGTAGTATGGCACAATGGTAATTGTGTGTGAGATGTGCCACACTGAAGGCTCATAGGATACATCATCTGAATCTCACACAAATAGCTAATTGAACTCAATTTACTCACACTGTGGTAAACCAATCCTGATCCTCAGGGCACACCAGGTACTACAAATCATCACCCTGTAACTCTGCAAATCCAACACACCAAGATTCTGTTCAAGCACCCAGCTCATGGCTAATAATATTCCCCCATCCCTGAAACTACACACTTGAAATTTATGGCTGTTTTCATCATTTATTTCTTGATAATCCTTAGCTCACACACTACAGTGGTGATACTGGTGTGTACAGTAATTGACACTGTAGTGGTACTTCTCAATCTATCTGAAACTTCCACAAGTACCTCTTATCTCCCAAGTACTTATTTCTTATCTCCTCAGTACTTATGCCTTATCTCCTCAGTACTTATATTTTATCTCATCATATCTCATGCCAAGAATTTCAACATCCCATTCATGTTTCATATTTACACTATTTGATTATTTTCTCCCATAGCTTGTTCACCCACATCTGGGTGAGATAATCCCTCTATCCCATCTCATCCTCTTGATAAGAATAGTCAAACTCCTTTCTGCTTCAGTTCAAATCCTTATCTTATCTTGATACCAGACTCATTTGGGCCACATTGTTTGTATTTAGAATCTTCCACCTGTTGTATTCTTTCCATAGTTTTGCCTTCTCTTTCATCCCACAATCTGGCCACACCCTATAATTTAGCATGCAAGGAGCTTTCAAATCTCATGATTTTTGAAGAGAGGCCAAATATATGGACATATTTTTCAATGGCTTGTAGACAAAGAATTGTTCTGCAAAACTCACAAAATGGCACTATTGGCTTTGTAGCACATATTCATTCTGCATCATAACATAATAATGGTGGTCCAAATTAAACTTCATGAAAAATCATTTTACATATAAGGATTGGGTCTTAGTTAAACGACTCCCAAATATTTGGGACGTCGAGAGGACTGGCCGCGGATGGTCCTCTCGACGTCGATCCCCCTATATTTTTTTTTCCCCCAAAAATTTGGGAGTTGGACCTCCAAAGGGTCTGACTATTTTGGGAGTCGGAACTCCAAAAAAAATAATAAAAAAAAATAAAAAAAAAGAAATCCCCTGGGGGGATTTGGGAGTCTTTCCTCCAATAAATGGGAGTTGGAACGACAAAAAAAATAATAAATAGAAAACCATCAAAAATAGTAAAAAAAACTATAAAATAGAATAAAAATAAATCCATCAAGACATTTAAAAATTCAACCCCATTGAATAAGGGGCCCCTTGAATAAATTCAAATCAAGTAAAAATAAAACAGCAAAATGGAGTAAAACAGAACAAAATAAAATAAAACAAAACAATAAATAAAATAAAATATGGAACACAAGAAAATAAAATACAATAGTATTGCAGTTTAAATGATAAAAAATAACAACATAAATTAGAAAATCAAATGTAATTATGAGATACAAGAATCCAGGGAATCATCCTCCAATGAAAGGAGGAAAAATTGGCAAAAAGGAAATATCAGTAAAAACAGAGAGAAATGTATGCCCTCTTGAGCATATGGGAGGCAAAAGCTTCCTTCTTATTGGTTGGTTAAATGACCAAATATCATCAAAAGTAGAAATCCCTGCTAATAATATTCAATTGATTGAAGAATCAAGCAAAACATGAACTTCACGTGCACTACTTAGGAGTTAAAACCCACATCAATGAAACAGAAGCAATAAATTGAAAGAAACAGAAGGACAGTTAAAGGAGAGGACACAAGTAGAAGGAGGGGAACATAAGCAAGAAATTTAATCTGAGACAAAATATGGAGAAGGAGAGGAAGACATGAAGAATAAAATTAGTAATGAGTAGTCTCTGGGAATAAAATTTTGCGTCCAACAGTCAGAACATGACAAGCAGAATACTTCTCCTCCCACGGTAAAGCCTCTGGTACGGTGTCTTCCTTCCAATCTTTCATAAGTTGTGGTGCAGGAAAGTATACAGGGTCGAGCATTTCCAAGGCAACAAAGTGATTGGGGACATGAGCAAAGCAGATGGGGCAACAGAAATAAGGGAGAAAACTTAGAGAACCATGTAGAGAAAAGAAGAAAACGGCGGTCTTGAAGGCATTGGCCATAGCTCCACCCAAAGAAGGCATTGACATCCATTTGTCAACAGAACAGGGTTCAGGCGTGTTGACCTTGAGGCTGTCCAACATCTTGTCGATTCGATGGAAGATTTGCTTTTTGACATACCATTCCCTCCGGCTGGTGATTTTGGTGATGAGCGCCTCGCGGATCCGCATGTAATCACCCTGGTCTTGTCCCAAACACCACACAACCGCTCGGTAGCCACAGTGACCATTGGATCTTGGGTTGAGGATGTGTTTCACTGAGTCCTTGATTATGGGTGGTAGATAATCGCGATAGCTGGATACGTCTGCGTCGTCTGGCTCGTTTTCGTCAAATGGTTTGGGGGGAAGCATGGCGGGTTGGTCTTTGGGGGGGGGGGGTTTGGACATTGGCGGGGAGGCTTGTGGTTTTGATAGGTCAAATCTTCTTCTTTGGGGCTGGTCCTGCTTTGGTGGGCGGTGTATCGGATTTGTTGGTTGTGGCGGTTAACACTTCATCCATGTTGGCTGGCGGGGGAGCTTTGACACGAGCATTCCGACGAGGGAGGATCCTCTTCCTAGGTTGCGGACTGTTTTTCCTTGCCTCAGATGCCTCAATCTCTTCCTCTTCTTCCAACGCCTTGTCTTCTTCTTTCTGTAATGCCTTCTGGTCAGCTTTTCGGAATGCCTTCATTGCCGCTTTTGCATTGTTCAGCTTCTGTTTCTTTGCTTTGACAGCTTCACTCTCATCTTTCTTCCTCTTCTTCTCGACATGTTTGAACTCCGACAGTTCCTGTTTGTTGCGCCTTTCGGTCGTCCTCGAGTCTTCTGAGCTTCGGTCGGCAGCTGGACATCTACTACCGCCCCGGATCCTTCAAGCAGCTGGTTGATGGCGGCGATTTGGATTGCCTGCTGGGCTGGATTCATCGAACGTAGCCGATCCATTATCTGCTCAATCATTGGGTTATCATGCTGGGTTGCCCTTGGGGATGGATGACGTTTGAGGACCTGAGGAGGGATTCATGTCAGAACCAAATGGAAACAGATGGGAAGAAGAACAAAATGGAAACACATGGGAAGATATATGAAAACATACATTCATGTGCCATTGGAGATGGAAATCTTCCGGTGATACCATTCCTCCCGATTTTGAGATTTCCAAGAGTTGATGTTTGCAAGGTATGCCCATTTGAAGGACATATTGTTGATTGCAATGCGCATTTTCACCAAGTTTCTTCCCGGCCGTAGGATTATTGAAAGCCTGACTGAGGGCATAATTCGTGATCTTCCCAAGGCAGGTTTGGAAGAGGCTGCCAAGGTATTGAAGTGTCGTGATCTTTTGCTGGAAATGGATGCTGGTGATCTGGTGATATTGCTCTTCAATTGCATTTCTGATGAGCTGGACCGCCGAGGCGAAAGTTTGTTGTGGCCCAAGGAGGTGAGACTTGATGAATGCATGGGCCGATTCCATTCGCGAGGCTGTCCGGTTGTTGAAATGAGTCACGGTGCATGTCCACGCATTGGAGTAGTGTTTGGCAACAGGTAACCAGGTCAAGGAGGCATATTTTTCAAAGTCTGGCCCATATTTGTGGGCCCAGCGGGAGAAACTAGCTTGAAAATCGGACAGGGTCAAAATCTTTACTATGTTCATCCAGTATTGAAGCATATCCTTTTGTTGTTTGTCTGTGGCAATGAGTTTTGCACCTTTGGCCAAGAGATTCTTCTGAATATGCCAAACACAAAGCATGCGGTGGGCGTTGGGGAACAAGGTTGCAAGGGAATTCATTAGAGCCTGCTCACAATCCGTGATGACGACAGGAGGTAGGGGGATCTTGTTGCTTTGGAAAATCATCAGAAGTGATTGCAGGGCCCAATCGTAGAACAGCTTGATTTCCTCCGCCATGAAACAGAATGCAACGCTGAACGTCTTGTTTGAACCGGTGATTCCAGACAGGTGGAGCAGAGGCATGCGGTACTTATTTGTCTTATATGTGCAGTCAAGTAGGATGATGTGGTGGTATGCCTTGAGGAGCTTCAGGGAATCAGAGTGACAGAAAAAAAGCGCTTTGAGGTTACCTTCTTGATCTACTTTGGTGGCGGTGGTGAAGTTGGTGTTGGCCAGAGTTTTGTTCAAGTGAACAACCGGACTTATCCCTTGAAGCGTTTCCTGGCGAGCCTTTTTCCGGGCCGTGTAAATCGTGCTGACGGTTGCTAGTATGATTACATTC